AGGTTGGGCAGTCAGGGTTGGAGAAGGGTAATGACTCATTCATAAAACCAGTGTTCTTAAGACAAAAGAGTTGGGAGGAAAGGCAGAAGAAGATGGCATTCGTTATCGGAAACTCTCAATGTCAATGTCAACCCAGCAGCCCTCGCCGTTGGTTAGCACTATAAGCACAATGAGATGACAAAAAAGGTAAGATAAGGTAACTGCCTTATAAGAGAAGCTAATATAATCTAGAACTGTTGGCCCTATGTAACAGATTGAAATATTTGAATGGATCCTCTTTTTCCTTTGCCTGATTTAGTAAGCAACAAATCAAAGTTCATGGATGACTCATTCATGATCCACAACCACTACTTAACTTTAATGTCATATATAAATCCGTGTCATCATCTTGTTAACCTTTGTCATACAAGACTAATAATTTTACTATGCACCAAAAGCCTTGTCTTACTTTTACTCAACTTTGTAAAAGCAGCTTACATCATAAAGCAAATCTTCCAACTCAAAAGTTGACAACACCACATGTGCAACACAAATCTTGATAATAAAATAAGACAACATGAGATAGTTTACTGTAATTAAAAAGACAGGTAAAAGAAGACATTTTAAATATTCTATTTTGATGACCCATAGCTGACTCATGCAACAGTTAGTAGTTAAAAGATTCATCAACTTTGCCCAAACTGCTGTCTATATATATAGTGCTGCAAGGAATGTTATCAAACCATTAACCAAAACATAATAATATCTCAGTTACCTTCATAATATATCAATTCTCTTCAAAATCAGAAGTCACAATGAAGAACTTACTCGGTAGAAATGAGGTGGGTGTTCCCATGAGTTCAGCAGTATACTCATTTGAACGGCAGCAAAAAAGACTACTGTCTCTATCTGCTTGCCAAGACCATCTTCCATCTGCAACTTCAAAACACTTGCCTAAAATAAAGCAAAGTGAGTATTTTCCCTCGAAGAATAATCGACTTGTTCTTGTATTAGTTATAAAGAGTATTAATGACCCTCGAAGAAGAGATCATTAAAATCAAATATTCTTGAATATGCAGGAAAATCTGTAATTAGTAAGGTGAACAAACTTGGAGAAAGGATGGACTGTCTTGCACAAGGCATCCGCGAGCATGGTGAGCACTTATATTCATGATGAAAACTTAAAATGAACAATCGAAAATTTACAATATTTTATTTAAGTTAAAAACTAGTATTTCGAAGTTGAAATTGTGTGCGGACATGAGTTTACTTAGAAAAGACAAAGTTGAAGTATTGTGAATGAAAACCATCACCTCACAAGAAAAATTCCTAAAACAAGTTCTTAAATAGTTTAATGACTATTTCAAATACTGAAGTTCAATATTTATAAATATGGCGCCAAACATCAACTTGCAAATAATGACATCAGTTTTTGCAAGACAAATCATGGCAATACACTAGTGTAAATCTAATGAATAACAGATAAAGGGAGTCAAGATATACAAAATTTTGTGCAATAAGCACTAATACATGTATGAAAGAAAGTTCTGATGTGAAGCCCTTAATGTTTCAACTTTAATTGTGCAGTGAGCCTTAGTCCGAAGCTAACGGACACTGTGAAGGGAAAATTGAGCCTTGGAGCAAAAATTCTTCAAGTAGGAGGGTTGGAGAAAATATTCAAGCAGAAGTTTACAGTTAAAGATGATGAAGAGCTATTGAATGTTTCTCAATGCTATTTATCAACGACAGCTGGTCCAATAGCAGGCCTTCTCTTCATCTCTACCGATAAGATTGCTTTCTGCAGTGAGAGATCAATAAAGCTCTTATCTCCAACTGGAAAGTTGCTTAGAATCTACTATAAGGTACCACTCTGCTCCGTTTTTCTTCTAACTCTTAATTTTGTATCCACGTAAAGCATAATCTAATAAGCCGGTTCACAATTGCAGGTATCGATCCCAATAAGTAAGACAATGAAAGCAAAAGAGAGTGAAAATAGGGAAAAGCCATCACAGAAGTATATAGAAATAATTACAGAGGATGATTTTGAGTTCTGGTTTATGGGATTCCTTAATCATCAAAGGACTCTGAGATATCTGCACCAGGCAATTTCAAGTACTTCAAGCAGCTAAGAAGACAACATATTTTCCATTCTCTTTTCTTTTTTTTTTCTTTTTTTTTCTTCTTACTTGCATTCATCAATATAAAATGTTGATGCAAAACGAATGTACAGATCTGTTCAAACTTGTAGTTAGCTCCTTCGCTCAAAGGAGATTTTCGGTGTTTTAGGCTTTGAGCTGTTAACACAAATGTATAGACTTATTGTGAAAGTAATGCAGTCAGAAGGCTAATTCATCTTTTGGGACTTCGCATCATGATCACTTCCTAGCAAATCGCACTGTTTCTCGAAAGACATATTAAGATATTATGGAAAGTTTCCAACAAGGGGAGCCCCCTTGATATTTTTCACCTCAAGAATTTCTTAGGTCTAATTCGCATAATTAATACTGTGAGGATTGAGCTGTCAAAAGAGATTATCCAAATGCTCTTGGATGGGTAGTCGAATTGGGGGATAAATATGTTTTTCTCCTTTATATAGAATCTAATCAATCTCTTAAAGTCTAATCAATCTCTTAGAGATCATGAGAACCTTGTGATTTGATATAATTTATTTATTTATTTTTATCTGGTAAAAATTTTCATTATTAACAAGGCCAAAAAGGCCATATACAAGAGGTATACCTACCAGTGAAGGACCTACACAAAGATATGGTTCTATACAAAAGACACCCAATGCTCTATACAGCCCGTAACTACATGGGTGCAAAAAAAAAACAAATAAGGGATCGGAGACTACTCCTCAACAGCCAAAAACTCGATTAATGCCGTAGGAACAACATTCTATGCCCTGCACTTTCTCCTGCTTCTTCCAGATTTCCAGTAAAACAACAAATCTTTCACAATTCTTGGAATTGCCCATGACATTACAAACCAGCTGAACATGTCCCACCACAGTCTCGTGGCGTAGCTACAATGTAGCAGAAGATGATTTACGTCTTCGCCCGCCTCCTTGCATAAGTAATACCAGCTGATGCAAATAACTTTTGTTTTCCTAAGGCTCTTCGACGTCAAGATCACCCCTCTAGCAGCTAACAAAGTGAAAAAGCACACCTTCCTCGGAACCTTGGGAATCCGAATAGACTTAACAGGAAAACCCTCCTCAACTCTCAATAAAAGCTTCTAATAGAAGGCTTGACAGAAAAAACACCATCGTTTCCCAACTTTCATCTCGTCGGATGGGGCCTGTCAACTGCCTCGCAATGCTGATGCAGTAACAGTAACATCCTTTCAAACTCATTCACCTCCCAATACTGGAAAGCTCTCCTGAACCTCAAATCCTAAAACGCTACTTCCCCTTGTGTCCCCGGGGACATCTGTTGGACTACCACTCCCCGCTAAAAACTTTCCCGACAGTCACTCAAGCACTTTCACACAACAAGAAAGCAAAGTGTATCATATCTCGTACCATCCGAATAGGTTTCAAAGCAATCAGTACAGCGCAACAGAGGTGCCCTTTCAGTATTGTCTTTGTTTGTGAATATTAATGTGTCCTATCTTCATGTTATATTATTCCCATTGATTGTGATCAAACTGCGTTCCGAGTGTCTTTATAGAGAAGAGAAAAATCTTCCCTTCAGATAGTCAGGGATAAACCGCTCTACAGAACAGGGGAGAGGAAGGGAAGTAAAAAACCCCGATAAGATTAAGCAATCAGCCGCTGTCACTGACAGGGACACAGATCGGATGGTGGAGTACTATTCTACCACAATGAGACAGGCATCATCGAATCAAAGGCCGAATAGAAAGCATTCCCCCCAGTTGAGAGGCTCCATTTGACAAGATATCCCATAAAAGCTCGGAAACTCATCTTTAAGCCACATGTCTCCCACTTTTCTTACCCGAGTCAGGGCTCTATTATACATGTCCTCCATTGTCTTAATGTAAGCCCCCAAGACACCTTTAGCCTCCCGACATCTACATAGGACTTCCCTTGGGACGATATGTAAGTCCCTCTTCCATTCCTAAACTTCTCCTCCCTGTAGTTATCTCACAAGATGAATGGCTTCTGAGTAAGTTGGTAATATGTGAAGGGATTAAATTGAACACACATCTGTTTGTAACAGAGAAAGACTTCCCTGAAAAGTAAGCGTAAGATAGCTTGCAATATACTAGGCACTCTTTCTTTTTCAATGTTTTTCCCTATTTTCCTAACAGAAAATACAATCACTTTTTGTTCTTAAATTACCTTCTAAAAATACTTGGCATTTCTCTCATGATTTTTCAAAAGCAAAAGTTGGTCAAGAAGATTACTCAAAAACTATAATATCATTTGTCATGCATGTATGGTATGTTCCACATAAAGTCAGAAATGGCCTACAAATCCTGCCTTTACACATCAAGATGAGATGATAAAAAGGGCAAGATAAGGTAACTGCCTTTTAAGAGAAGCTAATATAATCTAGAACTGTTGGCCCTATGTAACAGATTGAAATATTTGAATGGATCCTCTTTTTCCTTTGCCTGATTTATTAAGCAACAAATCAACGTTCATGGATGACTCATTCATGACCCACAACCACCACTTAACTGTAATGTCATATATAAATCCGTGTCATTATCTTGTCAACCTTAGTCATACAAGACTAATAATTTTACTATGCACCAACAGCCTTCTCTTACTTTTACTCAACTTGTAAAAGCAGCTTACATCATAAAGAAAATCTTCCAACTCAAAAGTTGACAATACCACATGTGCACACAAATCTTGATAATAAACTAAGACAGCATGAGATAGTTTACTGTAATTAAAAAGACAGATAAAAGAAGACATTTTAAATTGAGAAATATTCTACTTTGATGACCCTAGCTGACTCATGCACCACTAGTAGTTAAAAGATTCATCAACTTGTCCCAAACTGCTGTGTATATATATAGTGCTGCAAGGAATGTTCTTAAACCATCAACAAAAACATAATAATATCTCAGTTACCTTCACAATATAGCAAATCTCTTCAAAATCAGAAGTCACAATGAAGAACTTTCTCAGTGGAAATGAGGTTGGTGTTCCCATGAGTTCAGCAGTATGCTCATTTGAACGGCAGCAAAAAAGATTACTGTCTCTCTCTGCCTGCCAAGACCATCTTTCATCTGCAACTTCAAAACACTTTCCTAAAATAAAGAAAAGTGAGTATTTTCCCTCGAAGAATAATCAACTTGTTCTTTTATAAGTTATAAAGAGTATTAATGAACCTCTAAGAATAGATCATTAAAATTAAATATTCTTGAATATGCAGGAAAATCTGTAATTAGTAAGATGAACAAACTTGGAGAAAGGATGGACTGTCTTGCACAAGGCATCCGCGAGTATGGTGAGCACTTATATTTATTTAAGTTAAAAACTAGTATTTCGAAGTTGAAATTGTGTGCAGACATGAGTTTACTTAGAAACGACAAAGTTGAAGTATTGTGATTGAAAACAATCATCTCACTAGAAAAATTCCTAAAATAAGTTTTAAAATAATTTTATGACTATTTCAAACACTGATATTCAATATTTATAAATATGGCGCCAAACATCAACTTGCAAATAATGACAACAGTTTTTGCAAGTCAATAATGGCAATACATAAGTGTAAGTCTCATGACAACAGATAAAGGGAGTCAAGATGTACAAAATTTTGTGCAATAAGCACTATTTACATGCATGACAGAAAGTACTGGTGTGAAGTCCTTAATATTTCAACTTTAAATGTGCAGTGAGCCTTAGCCCGAAGCTAACGGAAACTGTGAAGGGAAAATTGAGCCTTGGAGCAAAAATTCTTCAAGTAGGAGGGTTGGAGAAAATATTCAAGCAGAAGTTTAGAGTTAAAGATGATGAAGAGCTATTGAATGTTTCTCAATGCTATTTATCAACGACAGATGGTCCAATAGCAGGCCTCCTCTTCATCTCTACCGATAAGATTGCTTTCTGCAGTGAGAGATTAATAAAGTTCTTATCTCCAACTGGAAAGTTGCTTAGAATCTACTATAAGGTACCACTTTTCTCGTTTTTTCTTCCGACTCTTAAATTTGTATCCACGTAAAGCATAATCTAATAAGCCGGTTCACAATTGCAGGTATCGATCCCAATAAGTAAGACAATGAAAGCAAAAGAGAGTGAAAATAGGGAAAAACCATCACAGAAGTATATACAAGTAATTACAGAGGATGATTTTGAGTTCTGGTTTATGGGATTCCTTAATCATCAAAAGACTCTGAGATATCTGCACCAGGCAATTTCAAGTACTTCAAGCAGCTAAGAAGACAAAATATTTTCCTTTCTTTTTTCATTTTTTTTCTTATTACACCCATTCATCAATGTAAAATGTTGATGCAAAATGAATGTACAGATCTCTTCAAACTTGTAATTAGCTCCATTGTTCAATGGAGATTTTAGGTTTCTTAGTCTTTGAGCCGTAGCTGTTAACACGAATGTATAGACTTATTGTAAAAGTAATGCAGTCAGAAGGTTAATTTATCTTTTGGTACTTGGCATAGTCATCACTTCCTAGCAGATCATAATGCTCCTCGAAAGAAATATTTAAAATATTATGGCAAGTTCCCAACAATGGGAGAGCCCCTTGATAATAGAAACACAATAAATAACAGATGGTAATTGGTAACTGATAACAAAAGCAACAATCTACATGAATAAGACTAATACGACGGACATGGTGCTTCAGACTACCACCAGCCTAATCCTATCGAGAAGCAAGATAATGCTCTACAACCTACTAACATTCTACCCTAATTTGCGACCTTCATACCCTCCTATCTAAGGTCATGTCTTCAGTAAGTTGGAGTTGCACTATGTCCTATCTGATCAGCTCTCCCCAATACTTCTTTGGTCTACCTATACCTCTCCTCGAACCCACTATATCCAACTTCTCACACCTCTTCACTGGGGCATATACACATCTCCTTTTCACATGTCCAAACTATCTTAGTCTTGTTTCCCTCATCTTCTTCACCATTGAGGTCACTCCCACCTTGTCCCTGATATCCTCATTCCTAATTTATCGCTCATAGTATGCCCACACATCCATCTCAACATTCTCATTTTCGCAACTTGCATCTTCTTAGCATGAGAGTTCTTGACTAACCAAAACGCTACTCATACAACAAAGTCAGTCTAACCACCCCTCTATAGAACTTACCTTTAAGTTTTGATAGTACCTTTTCATCACACAAGACTCTGGAGGCAAGCCTCGATATCTTCCCCATCGCACCAATATGATGTGTGACATCATTGTTGATCTCCCCATTTCCTTAGATAAAAGACCCAAAATACTTAAAATTTCTCTCTTGGGGATAGTCTGTATATCAAGCCTTAGTTCCGTGCTTACCTCATGCACTGCATCACTGAATTTGCACCCCAAATATTCTATTTTGTTCCAATTTAACATGGACCCCTTAGACTCTAGAGTTTGTCTCTACACCTCCAACCAAATGTTTACTCGGCCATGAGTCTCATCAATCAGTACTATGTCATATACCAATAATATACATCATCACACCTCACCATGAATATGCTGCATCAATTCATCAATCACCAAGGAAAATAGAAACGAGTTAAGTGTTGATCCCTGGTGCAACACCATCTCGACTAGAAAGTGCTCTGAGTCTGCTCCCACTATTCTTACCCGAGTCTTGGCTCTATTATTTATGTCTTTCATCACCTAATATAAGCCACTTACACTTTTGGCCTCCCAACATCTACATAGGACTTCCCTCGAGACTATATCTTACGTCTTTTCTAAGTCAGCAGACACCATATGTAAGTCCCTTTACCATTCTTTGTACTTATCCACCAGTAAACTCACAAGAAGAATGGTTTCTGAGTAAGTTTGTAATATTTGGAGGGCTTAAATTGAACAAACATCTGTCTGAGAAGAATATTGACTTCTCCGAAAAGTTAGCATAAGATAGCTTGCAATATACTAGGCACTCTTTCTTTTTCCATGTTGTTTCCTATTTTTCTAACAGAAAATACAATCACTTTTTGTTCTTAAATTACCTTCTAAAAATACTTGACATTTCTCTCATGATTTTTCGAAGGAAAAAGTTGGTCAAGAAGAAAATAAGTTAAATCACTCAAAAAAATAATTATATCATTTTTTTTTGTCAAAAGGATCATATATATATATATAAAAGAGAACCCTAATCCCGCCTACGTGGCGCCATCACAAACCAAGATTCCTTTTTAATTTATTTTATTCCCAAAACTAGCCTTCCCCTTTCTTGAAAAGTTGTGACTTTTATGAAGAGTTGCCACTTTTATGAAAAGTTGTGCCTTTTATGAAAGGTTGTGACTTTTCCGAAGGGTTGTAACTTTTCCAAAGAATTGTAACCTTTCCGAAAAGATGTGACTTTTATGAAGATTTGTCACTTTTATGAAAGGTTGTGACCTTTCCGAAGGGTTGTAACTTTTTCAAAGAGTTGTAACCTTTCCGATAAGAGACAATAATCATTTGTTTACACTACTCTTTGTTGTCTATAAACAGAGGACTTACCTCTCATTTTAAAACAACGAAAATTTTGAACTTCTTCTTCTTCTGGACAATTAAATATTTGTGTAGTTTGCTCCTGTTGAATGGCTCACTGACACCATTGTTTTTGTATCAATACACTGTGAATAGAATCGTTCTATCTTGAGAGGTTCTATTCCTTTAAACATCGGGTACTAGAAGGGAATAATTTACTTAAAGGGACAATGTGCATTCAATGGGCTCGATTTTTACCATTTTGTTTCATTCTATTTTGGCATAATACATAAAGAGGACCTTTAACTTGGCATCAATTCACAACTATGACCTTAAAGTTTGCTAGTGCACAAGTAGGCACTTCAACTATCCAAAAATTTAACAATTAAACACTCTAATCCTACATGGCAAAGTGCATGAAACACACTTCAATTAGGCGCGTCAGTGATAAAAATAGAGGCCCCCAATAGTAAAAAGAAGGCTAAATGACTCTTCTACCCTTAATGAATCTCTTTCATATATATATATATATCTCACTTTACTCTCTTCTTTCTAATTTCTTCAACAGCTTTTTGCCATTTTCCTCCCTTTCTTCACAATTTCTTGAACAATTTTACCTTTGATTCGAAGGATGAAATGTAGGAACTTAGGTTAGGATTTTGTAGAGAAGAAAGAGGAAAACGTTGTTCTCCATTAAAGCATAGGGTCAGAGTTGTTAATTGATATTTATTTTGTTTTTATTTTCAGTTTTTTAATTGAAAAATTCACGTGTATTTATTTTAATTAGTTGGTAGCCATGTAGAAGCATTTGTATATCACGCACTTTGCCTGGGATATACGAGTGTTTAATTGTTTAAATTTGTGATAGTTAAAGTGCCTATTTGTGCATTGGCAAAGTTTAGGGTCATAGTTGTGAATTGATGCCAAGTTAAAGGTCCTTTTTATGTATTATGCCTATTTATTTTGTTTTTATTTTCAGTTTTTTAATTGAAAAATCCACGTGTATTTATTTTAATTAGTTGGCAGCCACGTAGAAGCATTTGTATATCACGCACTTTGCCTGGGATATACGAGTGTTTAATTGTTTAAATTTGTGATAGTTAAAGTGCCTACTTGTGCACTGGCAAAGTTTAGGGTCATAGTTGTGAATTGATGCCAAGTTAAAGGTCCTCTTTATGTATTATGCCTTCTATTTTTGAAGATCCTAGTATGTTTTTTACATTCATTAATTTATGCTTATATTATTAATTGTTGTTTTTGAGTACATGCTTTAAACTTTGTTGCTTATGTTTATGCAAAGTTATTCTTACAAGTATTTGTTACTATAGATTAAATAACAAACGTTATTTGGGTATTCAAGCAAGTTTTCTCTACTGAAATTGTAGAAGGTAAAATAAAAAGAGCCCTTACAAATCTATAATTTCTTCATCAACAACATCATTCCTTCACATACAAGGATGCAATTTTGTGTTCTTTAAAAAATCCTCTGAGAGTTAATAACTTTGCATGCCCATATCTTTTGGTTTTTATGTTGTTATTTATTTTTTTAAAATTTTATCAGTGGATATTATGAGTACTTTAAGGATTGAAAGTTGATTGAACTGTTAGTCAATTTTTTTGTGGTATGTTATTCCAAAACATAGGAACTTTTCTGGTTAGAATAATTTGTTATCATCATTGGATATCTCATAGTTTACTCCCTTTAATGTTTATTTTTTCTCGCTATTTTGTTGTTTCCTTAAACTTATATTGATTATTTTTTGTTTGGTATGTATATTATGTAACATCGTGTAAGTTGATATAACTATGAAGAAGCTGGAAATTGAAAGTCATTTTTGGAATGAATTCAAAATCTAGAAATTTGATTTAAGTATGGGCAAAAGTGAGTTTTTGGTCAACTTTGAACAGTCATAACTCCTAGCTCAGGATGATTTAGGTGTAGTTCCAGTTATGTTTGTGAAGCTAGTGGAATGATCTTTCCAACTCCGCTGAGTTTGCTCAATTCCGAGTTCGTATGAGTGAGTTATTCCCTTTCGAAGTTGGCCTGTTGGTAAGGAAAGTTCACCCGAAATTTTAAGGGTATTTTGGTCTTTTCCCTAACCAATTCTTTTGGTTATATTAATGTGTTAGACTGGTTTTTAGATCAGTTTTTCCCTTTTTAAAAGAGTGAGAGTGAGGGTTTGTGAGTGAAGAGGAGAAGAAGAGGAGAAAGAGAAGAACAAGCAAGGATTTCGTCGTGGTTTTCGTCGGGGGTGATCCCTATTCAGGTATGTGAGTTCATAGTGTTGGGTTGGTTCAATCCCCCTCACGCCAAACTCGTTTTAATTCCGAGAAAAGATTGATTGTGTTGTTGAAGTTTGTGGTTGTGTTTGTTGAAGCCTCTTGTTGGTTTGGTGTATGTTTCCGGTTGTGATTTCGAGTTGAATCTAGTGTATGTTGAGGGGTTTTATGATATTAAGTGTTTGGGGCAGGAAACTTAGAAGTTGGGAAGGTTTAGAGTTGGAAAAACAAAGGAGAAAAGTCGAGTTTTCAGGGGAAAGGGGTGGCGCGTCACGCCTGCCAGCGTACCCCACCAGGCCTTCTGAGCTTCGAGGGTTGGCGCCCCGCGCCTCTCAGAGTGCCAAGGACGCCAGTTCTCCCCATTCTCTCCCCTCTTTTTCGTATGTGTTCCGTAATAATGTACCTATGTTTTCTAGTTGTTTTCAACACTCCAAGGTACATCTAAACGTCAAGAACTCATCCATAAACATGAGATCATTACCCTTGAATCCATAATCCAATTCGAGGGAAGTTAGGATCAAAGTCAAGTGAAGTTAAGAGTCAAGTTTAGAAGTTAAGAAGCAAGTCAAAGCAAGTCTTTAAAGTGTTTCAAGAGTCTTTATTGAACGTTTTAACTTCATTTTAAAGCTCAAGTTTCAAGTTAAGTAAAGAGTCTCAAGTTTCAAGTTAAGTCAAAAGTATAAAGTTGAGTTCATTTCTCAAAAGTTATTAGGGAACTAAGTA